ATCTCTCAAATATTCACATTTGGCTGGGAAATGAAAGGCCAGATTTCAAACCTGGCCAGCATCTTTATGCTCGTAATTTGCATGAGAATGTGAGTGGAATTAATTGGGGATGGAATTTAAGTTATTTATTTATTTTAAGAACTTACGTTTTGGGAAAGAAAACAGACATTTTAGTATTTATTATGTGCTCTCAATTCAGTTTGAGAACTGAACCTGCAGGGCTGCAAAAGATGGGAAGGCCCAGATAAGGGGACCATGAAAATGTTGCTCCAAATAAAAGTGTTCAAGGTTAACAAATTGCAAGACATCTTGAACAATTTAGCCAGCAGATTGCCTGTTCACAACTGTATTTTCTGCTTTGCTGCATTTAACTTGGTTTGACTGGTGTTGAAGGTTCAAACCAGTTGGGGACCACACACAGCTTTATATAATTAAACATTAAACTGGTTAGTGGGGTTAAAACTGTTAAATCTCCCAAACTTGCAGGGCATTCATTGAGCAGCGTGTTTATCTCATTTGGCATGTTATTTTAAATGCACCTAAGAAAACAGCAAATGCAGAATGCCACGGGTGACAGAGGCACTGCAGAGAATAAGCAGAGGACACAAAGCTGGAGCACTGCAAGTCTGCATCTCTGCAAACAAGGCAGGGAGAGCCACAGGCCCGGCAGCTCTCAGATGCATTCAGCAAATTCTTCTGACAACAGTGCAGGAGGAGGCAAGTGCTTTGTTGTGCATCCTCCTAGAAATATTACAGACTGCAGAGCAAAGAAAACACACAGGGCGGTCAATATTTTTCTTGAATTTACTCCGAGTGGTGGAAGCTCTGCCCAGAGTATTCCATTTATGTTTGGAGCTCTGCACTCTATCACTGTGCTGCTCTGTAAAGTAAATTTATTCCTGAAAAAGAATAAAAGGCTTTCCTTGTAGCATATAGTGCTGCCAGGAAGGTCTGAGGGATTCACTGATCTTTCTATTTATTTTTTTTTTTTTTAATTGATGTGCAACCCAGAAAATAAAATAATCAGTTCATTTCCAAGCTTTATTACAATTTTAGAAGTTTGTTTTTTTTAATTTATTTGATTTCAAAGTGCTCTGTCACTTGCAGATGAGTTTTATTTGAGAAATAGAAAAAAACAGTTTTCACTTGATAGGAATTGAGGACCTTTCAATTATTTTTCCCTCATAGAAACTTTTACAAATCTCACCCCTCATTTGTGAATAATTATGACCTTAAATATAATTTTTGGTCAGCAAGTTCTGTGCATAAAAAATTCCTTGTGGCCCAGCACCTGTAGAACATGATTAAATCTCTCCTCTGTGTTTGAGCAGAGTGGGAGGGTGGGTTTATTTCTGGAATAATTCAGTGTTGCTGAGTGAGTGTGTCTGGAGCAGAGAAGGGGAAACCTCGGAACGCTCTGGGTGCCCCCAGCTCAGGGAGCTCCTGGCTGCAGAGCCTGTGGCTGACCACTGACCATGGAGAGCCATGGAGAGCCATGGAGAGATGACCACTGACCATGGAGAGCCATGGAGGGCTGACCACTGACCATGGAGAGCCATGGAGAGCCATGGAGAGCCATGGAGAGCTGACCCTGACCATGGAGAGCCATGGAGAGCCATGGAGAGCTGACCCCTGACCATGGAGAGCCATGGAGAGCTGACCACTGACCATGGAGAGCCATGGAGAGCTGACCCTGACCATGGAGAGCCATGGAGAGCCATGGAGAGCCATGGAGAGCCATGGAGAGCTGACCACTGACCATGGAGAGCCAAGGCTCCTGCCCAATCCCTCACTCAGCTCAGCCCCATGCCTGGGAACAGGGATGAGCCAAGGGACAGGAGAAGCCAATGAAAATAATTCACCATCATTTTCATTATTTTCCTGGTGGTCTCCCATCACTCTGTATATCATTCATTAAACATCTTTGCCATGCAATATAGAATTTGGCTCCAGCTGCTTGGGCTTGACTCAGGGGTAGAACCAGACCATAGACTCAGTTTAAATTTTCTGGTTGCACGTTTCTGGCTTCTCCTGTGCTCTAACAAAAACATTTTATGTTGACTTTTTAAAAAGAAATACACACACATTTCAGGTGAGGTTTTCTTGCTGTCTTAAAAGTGGTTTGCTACCGAGTTATCCACTGCAGGCTGCTGTGCCTTTGTCTGGAAGGTTGTTAGGAAACTACAACTTCCAACAAAGTATTGCCCAGAGAGGTCATTTCCCTCTCTCCTCTTTCCACACATCAACAGACAGGGCTAAATTTCACTGCTTGCCTTTCCATCCCTGTTTCCTTTCTACCAAAAAGGTGAAAAGTCTGTTATTACCCAGAGGCAAAAAGTCCTTTTCAGTGCAGGGGACATCTACCAGTCGATTATTAGGAATAAGAATGTTGGATGACATTACAGATGAAAAAAAATTTGATTAAAATAGCTGATATTTTGAAAACTGTGGTATTCAATCCCATAGACATGAAATTTAGAGTAGGAAAAAGTAATCTTTTCTAATGACCGCTTGGTACATGTTGTCAGGAGGGAGCCCTAAGCTGGGAGCACATACAATTTTTCCCAGGAAAAGTGATATATACTTAGAGCACTAAGTGTGGCTACCAGTGACACACAAATGCTTTCAACTTTAAACCTATTTGGCTCCATTCAGGAGATCAGTGTGGTGGTTCAGCTCATTAGCATTTGAGCAAATTTGTTACACTTTTAAGGAGTGTTTTCGGAATGGCCTGACCCGTCGGATGCAGTGAATTCCAGATGCTAATGGCTCCATTTATCAAGGCAGAGCTTTTTAACATAATGCATAAACCTTTCCTACATGGGAGTTTTACTGTGCATTCAATTCCAGTGCAATTCACTGCTGCAGGCAGAGGAAATGAAGAACTTAAGCAATGTAAACACACGAGGAAAAGGCTCTTAGATCCGTGTGGCTCCTGGAGATGAAATATTTATTTCCACAAAATTTGTCTTCCATTGTAACAGAGCAGGGTAACTGTGGGTGCTCTGGAATTAAATTATCTGTCTAGGGCTTTTTGTGTTTCTCCTCTCTGAAACATCTGAGTATCTTGTACCCTATCAAAGACTCTAAAAAGTCAAAGGATCTTATTTTTGAGAAGAGCTTAAATTGCTTTTGTGAGGGACATGTTTGTTTGCTGTTTGTTGGGTTGTGCTGCACAACAAAGCTCCTGTTAACTAATATTTTAATGTTATTTAGCCCATTTGCTCTCTGTAGTTCAGATACCAGAATTCTTTCATCTCTGTGATGTTTGGAATGGTTTTAAAAATAAAAACCTGACCATGCAAAGGATCAAACCCCATTATATTGAGTTTGTTTATGCTGAAGCCAGTATTAAATGAGAAACAAAAATAAGGGAAGAATCAAATGATTGAACGCAGTCCCTATCTCCCAATTTACATTCCTATATACTAATATCTCAAAATTCTCCAGTCTCTTTGACATTTGGAAGTGATCCCTGTGAAACCAGCTCGATGTCTGCCTCTCTGCTGAAGCAAACAGCAATGACCACGTTACTCCCATTCCCTGGACCCAAGACTTTTAATCTTTCCAGACTCTTGTATCTTGTGAGACTGAGTTGATACTTCAAAATGGAACAAATGCACTCAAAACAAAAAAAAAAAAAAAAAAAAACGAACAAAAAAAAAAAAACAAAAAAAAAACCAAAAAACAAAACAAAACAAAACAAAAAAAAAAAAAAAAAGTGTTGTACATTCCAGTTCTGGAAAGCAATTAAGTATACACTTAATTTTACCTTTATTCACTGTTTCAGTGGAGGGAGCAGCTCCAGTCTGCAGTAACTCCCAGCCTGACCAGAGGACTGTAGCTGTTGCCCCAGTTGGTGTGAGATCATGGAATTCTTTTCCTTTTCTTTGCCTTTATTGGCTTCAGGTTCCCACCTCCTGTTATTTACAAGGCAAAGATTTTAGGCCCTAATGCTACAAATGTTCCTGCATGTTTTAACTACAAGCATATGAGTACTCCCAAATTGAGGCCCTGGAACTCTTCATGTCTTAAGCACATCGTCTCTGATGCTGGAAATTCCTGTGCATATGCTTTTCCTTACCCCTTGGAGCAGTCTCATTAATTTCAGCAGGACCCACAGTAGTAAAGTTAAAACACATCCATAAGTATTTGCAGGTTCAGGTCCATAGTGACATTTCTTGTTCTCCAATGTTATTTTATCCCTAAGTCTGTTCATTGTCAAAAAATGAAGCTTTGAGTAATCAGGTCTCACAACTCCCCTCAAACCCCTTCCTGGAACTTATTTTGTGTTCTTTTCTCTGGCAAGGCCTGTGGACAGCAGCAGGGCTGTCCTAAATCAAATAACATTAAGAATCTGACATGAATTGACAAGAGCCAAGTATGACTGAGCTGGAGTTTAAACCCAGCTGAAGTGAAGAGTTCTCTCTGCTGTAGTTCAGCTTTAGTTACACTCCTTCATCAGAGTTTTGGGTTTTGTTTTTTTTTTCAATGGTAGAAAATAAACTGGATGAGAATTATAAATGAGTGAGACTTGAATGCCAAAATGCTGGAATTGGTGCTCTTAAGTGACCTGGAAGAGACACCTCTATTGCACTTCTTAGCTCCTTGTGTTTTTCAGCATTTTTCTCCAAATGCACACTTGAGGTTTGAAGGGGACGATTTAGCATTTTCCCAGCTTTGGTACAAACCCCATCTGTGTTATTGACAGTTGTGCTGTGTGGATGTGAGGAGCAGAGAGTTCCCAGTCCTGGCCTAACCACTGGGAATTCCTCTTCCAGCCCCTCATCAGTCCCTCTGGGCGGGTACCTCTGCCCATGCAGAGACCAAGCTTGGTGAGGCACCATCCCCCAGAGCCTGCCCAGTTCCATCTGTTTCCTTCCAAAAGCAGCTGGAGGCAAGGCTGGGAAGAGCACGAGGGGCAGCAGAGCTGGGCTGAAAGGCAGGAAATCCTGGCTGCTATTCCTGGCTCCTCTCAGCCTGGTGAGGCTGGAGGCAGGAGCTCGGCTCCTCCAGCAGCATCTGTGACATCAGCAGTGCACCTGAACAGCAACAGCACCTTCCAGGACCTCATTCTGCTGCCCAAGTGCCTCTGTGAGCATCTATTCCCAGGGTATTCCTTGTGTAGGAAACAGGGAAAAAGCAGATGAAAAAAACAGTTGTAACTTCTTCTGTAAACACAGAGCTCGGATGTTTGAACAGCTTCCATCCATCACTCATGGAGATCTCTCCTGGACTTGTGTCCAGAACTGCAGGTGCAAAGAAAACAGAATTTTTCTGCAAAAATGTGGAGTTACCCATCGACACATCCAGCACCCAGGCATGGACGTGGAATTGTGGTGGCTGTGCATTCAAAGCCCTGCCTAACTGGCCTAAAAATCAAACTCCAGCAGCCCCCTAACTTCACAGTCCTCAGAGATAAACAACTGACATGGATTTTATGTTCCTGTGTATTAGAAGTGGGAAGCATCAGTTGCTTTAAATGGAAACACAGCAAATTACTGTATCTGAAACTCTGTCACTTGCTCCAAGCAAAGCTCAGACAAATTCCAGCTTATCTGAATGATTTCAGATAAAATTTCTGATAGGATTAACTCTGATCTTCTTTGTTCTCTAAACTTTAGAGCACTTAAGGAGAGGAGCTGGCAACATGGACAGTGTTTGATGATAAAAAATGTAATAACAACTTTAGGAGAGGAAAGACAGAAGCACATAAGGAAAGTTCTAATAAACTTGGAATTTCTGGGTATTTTATTCATTAATATAGAACCTTCTTGCCCATTTGTAGATAAGGATCTTGATGTTTTAAAGGAAGAGGAAAATATATTTATTATGCATGGAAAATAAGAAAAATCTAAAACTTACTTTTTCTTTCTGCGTGAGAAAGCATGATTGCTCTTGTTTTCAGAAACAGTTTTTAAAATTTTAGTAACATTTTTCCCTCACAAACAAAGCTGGTTATCAGATGCCCTGACCAAAACATGTTTTCCCAACAAGTTTTTTTAAACCAATATTTTTTTTTAATTGCATTTTTGAAATGTATTTACTCAGATTGTTTCAGTGTTTTAAAATATCCAGGCTGAGATTCCAGCTTTGGTTTACATCAAATTTGAAATCTTTATATTTGCCATATTTTCAACTCCTAAAAAAAAAAAAAAAAAAAAAAAAAAAAAAAAAGTAAAATAAATGTTTATTAAAATTTGTTTTCAGCTAGAAATGAATGAAGCTTCATTAAATTCAGGGGAGCTAGACCCACTTACATTAGCAGAAAATAGGGTCCTTTTTTCTCTCTTCTTTTCAATAATTTCTCCAATGCTATTTTTATCAGTCCTAGGGGGAGGTGGAAAGTAGGGTGGAAAACAGTTACAGCCATTTTATCACATTTTACTCCTAACAATGCAGTCCAAATGAAAAGGAACCCTAATGCTCTGCAGAATAATACATTAATCATCAGCAGGCGTCATTCAGTGCAGGCCGTGCTTTCCACACCAAGGCAAACAGGAGCAGAGCCCCTCGCAGAGGCACAAATCCCTTATCTAATCTCACCTAGGCTGAGCACAGCACGGCTTGTGGTGTTTGTCAGCCCAGGGATGGGGCAAACGGAGAGATTTAGCAAAGGTTTCACCCCTCAAGGGCTGGGAATTACAGGGGTTACAGGCCCGTCCACACAGAATATTTCTGCTCACTGACAAATTGGTTTTCCTTGAGAAAACATCATTCATTTCACTGGAAAAAGAAAAAACCCAAACAAACCAAACCTTCTTTAAAGCATTTTGCATAGGGAGCTGAGTAGTTAAACTTGGTAGATTTTCCTCCTCTCTGGAGGATTTACTGGGGGACAAGATGGAGGACATTGGGTGTGTCTTGTCCTTTTTTTCCTTCTTCATGCCCTCCATGTTTCACTGTAGTTTTAGCATTTTTCTATTAGTTTAAACTAAAAACACACTATTCAACATAGATAATAGATATTAACACATTATTATAAATATAGCACACATAGTTTCTGGTGTATAATGTTTGTAACATCCCACTGAGGGGCAGAGCCCCACATGCTGCCCTACAAGACAAACCTGCAGCAGGGCAGCAGAACATGTTATAAATAAGTAAGAATAAACAACCTTAAAAACCAACACAAACTAATTATAACTTCTTCTTTAGCAACAAAGCAAAAAGACAGAGACTTTTTACAATCTTGAGATCATCAATACCTCAAATTCCAACAGTGTGGACACCGTCCGTGGCTTTCTGCACAGCTCAGGGGAGGGATGGCTTCACAGCCTTTCCTCCTCCTCCATGGCGTGTGGAGCCTGCAGCTCCATCTCCATTATTTTCCTTCTCCATTAAGCTTCTCCTGTAACTCAAACCCATGAGAGGAAAGCAGTCTCAAATTATCCTAAATATACTGGTGCAATTAAGGCTCAAACTCAAAATGCAAGGTTTATTTTGTACCCTGTGATCTCCAGCAACTCCCCCCAGCTTTTTCCTTTGCTCATAGGTCCCACTCCCAACAACACAAAATTATTGCAGCTGGGAGCCAGTGGTAGAAACATTAACAGAAGGATGGTCGAGACATTGCCTTAGAGATAATATAGAGAAGAATAAAATTAGGGGGCAGCTTCCAGCTTCCTTGGATATTTGTGAAAATTCAAGCAAAAATTCTCAATTGAACTTTTCCCTTAATATTTCTTTCCTGTGTCCCTCCCATTCTCTCTTGTTATTACAGAAATACATATGAATATATTTCTACTCCAGCCTTGCATCTGTCTCATAAATACATCTCCTAAGTGTGTGCATGCTTAGGTTTCAAAATCCACTTTGTAGAGCCCAGTAGTGTTTGTACTGTTTCCAGTCTCCTCCATCTCTGCAAGATAAGTAGGTGCTACACTTATGTCATTTATTGCTATTTGTTTCTTTATGTTGGTTCCTCTTAAAGTGCTCTTCTTGTATTGTAGCTCCAGGGCATCCTCGCATACAGTTATGATACATAAAAACTGAAAAGCACAATTTAAACTGCAGCACCTCATCTGCTCTCCCTGTTTGTCTGTATTTTTCCCTCTGCCAAACATCATATTCCTTTCATCCGACAATATAATACGATCCACCAGAAAGAAATGGAGCACAATGGAGGGTGAGTCATTCTGGCTGAAAGGTTAGGGCCAGATCCTGCGTTCCCTCCTCCAAAAAAGCTCCTATACACTTGATTTTAGAGCATTTCCCAAGCTGGGAAGCTCAGGCCTCAATCCTATAAGATTAATGCTGGCGTGGACAAACATTTTTAGCTACAGGAGGCTTCAGTTTGAGAAGTCATTATCATTTCCCTTTCTTTGTGCCAGTTCTTAGAGCTCTTCCAGATTTATTCCCAGATTGTTTGACTAACCCTTATCTGTAAAACAGTCACCAGGAAATTTCAGGAGGATCTCAGCCTGTGCCTTACAAAGTCCAGCTCAGGGGACTGAGAGGGGTTTTGTGGCACACATGAAGGATTTCAAGTGCAACTCGGCAAAATCTCCCTCAGGTCTCAGTGAAGGTTTTGGCTCCATCAGTCTTGTAGCCCAACCAGGTTAATATTTGGGAATGCAGAGGTCTCAAAGCAAGGTGAAAATTCCAGGAGTCTCAACCAGACATCCAAAGCAGCCAGCAGAGAGAGACCCAAGCCCTCTGGCCTGCTCAAGCACGTCTGGCTGGGGTTCCCATCCAGGTATCCCTGCCTGGCGCCAACCCACCCTATCCTGCCAGCAGCTTTGCTCTGCAGCATGGAACCATCCTCTGCCTAACTGGATTGGAAGCCAGTTCTCCCACCTCCCAGGAGAGCAGAGTAACCACCAAACCATTCTGCTTTGCATAGAAAGATATTAAAGAGAGGGTGAAAGCAGATAGACAGACAGATTAGGGCTGCTGGCTGGGCTGCTGCTCCAGAATGTGGGAGCGTCCCCTTCCAATTTCTCTCCTAACGAATATTCAAATGTGGAGACAAAGTGGAACAGTTTCAGTGGGAAAAGCTGGAGGATACTCACCTTGGCAGGGAGGGAGGGCAGCATCTGGAGGATGCTGTGGAGGAGTTAAAATTCCCCAAATCCCCACTCGAAATGCATGGAGGGCTCTGAGCAGTCTCCTGCACTGAAAGCAAATACAACACACTAAGTGGGGATCTCCTGCCTGAGGCAGAGGTGGCTGCAGCCCTGAATCCATGAGGTCCTCTCCAAACACCCCTGTGGAATGCGGCCATGTGGACACCTTTACTCAGACACCTTTACATTCAACACTCACCTTGTGTGTCTTTTCACAATATGGACCAAAACTGCAACAGAAGGGCCAGAAGTAGTCCTGGTGCTTAGCACAATTCATTGGTGGAAACTCAGACATTTGGGACTCTTCCAGAACGGCTGAATGAGGGCTTTGAGTGCCTAATTTCAGACTTAGTGACTGTGAGTGTGTCATTCAGGTGAACATGTCACTTCATGACCGTACACTTTCCAGGTTTTACCTTGTTTGGTCTTTTTAAATTTTCCCTGTAGCTGTTCTTCAGTGATTTTTTGTTCCTTATGCTGCATCAGTCATACATCAGGTTGTGGCTACTCCCCAGTGGCTTGCAGAGAACAATAACATAGGGGAGAAAATATGCCCACTCATATATTTTGATTGTTTGACTTTCCCCTCTATCTCCCTGGAATATACCTCTACCTGAGTGCTTATTTACATATTAATGTGCAAGTATTTTCAGACTCACATATTTAGCAGAAGTCAGAAACTGGGGAATAATCTGTAGATAGCACAAGTATATCATTTTGATTTACAGTCTAACATTTAAATGTTTTGAGGTCAGACCTCTGCAAGAAAATAATTCACAACTGGATCTACAGCCTCCACTGGCTGTACATTTATTGCCAACGAGCACAACACAGATTGTTTTTTACGTGCCTGCTTTTTATTGCCTTAGATGCTGTTGTAGGATAGTTCACATAAACATTTATATAGGGTTTAGAAAACAGTTGTTAGCGAGGAGGAAGCTCTTTCTGTTTACACAGCCTAGAACAAAGCCACCGCGCGCAGCTCCCTCTAACTGACATGTGGGCGGGTTTTTTTCAAGTCACTGACTGGAAGAAGTGAGTGTCTGAGATTTATTCCTGACAGGACTTAAATTACTGGTAGCCTGACACATTTGTGAACAATTACTAGACACTGAGGTGTTTAAAGTAATGGGTACTGTTTGCTCGAGGGATGGGGAAGTTTCAAAACCATTAAAACAAAACAATTTTCCATTTGATTAGCAAAAAGAAAATGCATACATTTATTTTTTCAAAAAGGCACGTGGATATTTGATTTCTTAAATTCTTTTTCTCTCCACATGCACATGTTTAAAAATTTCCTTTAATTTCCTAACCAGTAAGTTACCATCTCTTGGTACAAGCTCACAGCCAGCTCTGAATATGAGACCTGTGAGCTTGCAGCCGCCAGAAGGTGAATTCACAGCAACGTCTCAGTTAGAAAAGGATCTCATTGTTTAGTTGTCTCAAATGATAATAACATCTACTTTCTTAGTTTTTAATTTGAAAGAAGAAAGGTGAAAAATGCTAAAATTTACTGCTTTACTCATTTGACCATTAACTGTTGCCAATATTTATGGACAATAAACTCTGTTTAATCCTCTCTTTAATCTACATTACCTTTATTAATTTATTCATAACTCTTCAAGGTAAAAGTTCTATACATTCCCACTTTTGCTTTCAGTGTTAATGTACAGTGACCCCTTCCATTCCTCCTTACAAATCCTGGGGCTATGCAGCCCCAAATTTCTGTTTTTCCATCAGAGAGCCTCCTGTCCCCACAGGAATATTGCATGTTTTTAGGAACCATCCTGCATGTGTGTACACACTTCTATCCCTCTTCCTTCATTAACCATGAACTGTTGAACAGGTGCTGTCTCTGCAACTTGTGCTATTCTGATGTGCTATGAAGTGAATAAATTAAAACTCCATCCATCTGCTAATAACCCAAATAAAATATTTCAATGGCGAACATAAATCAGGACTTTTGGAGGAGGCTGGTTAATCCTGCTTTACTGCTGGTCTCAGAGCCAGATTGTTCTTCCTGGCCGAGTCAATAAAAATGTTTATACATTTCTTAGTGCAACAAGGCCACACAGAGAGCTGCAAGAAATGTTTGCAGTAGTGGTCAGCTGGGGTGGGAGCTGGGAGCATTCTTGCCCTGCTGGCCATCCAGCACTCAGATCCACCCAGCCAGGTAGCCCAGAACCATGACACTGATCTAACATGTTAACCTTTCACCAAAACAAATAGAAATTCTGCCCCGTTTCTCAGTTATTCTTCCATCCACAAGGAAAAGATGCTACTTTAAGGGAACAAAACGGCAAAATGCTTGTGAAATCCCATTGTCCCTGTTAGACATCTTCCCACTGTTTTACTGGGACTCCCAGCAATGTAAACAATGTAAATGTGATGGCTTTTCCCATGGGCAGCTCACTACCTCACAAAATCTGCCTTTCCTTATAGTTGCTTAATATTCCTCAGGAATGAAGATGCAGCTGTGAGTTTTGCTGGCCTTCCTGGAGGTGCAGACTTCCAGATTTCTGCATGCTCAGGAGTCATTGGAGCACCTTAATTTGCTGCAAAAGGATTGGACTTCCCATTGATGACTGAGAACTCCCATCCTTCAGTGAGATTGTTCTTGAGTGTGGGGAGAAAATCCCTTTCCTGCCACAGCTTCCTC